AGTGTTGACGCTTGGGTTAGCAGGGGAGCAACCAGATTCAGGTTTGGTGCAGGGAGCGTTGGAACCTGTATAACCAATGGAACTCTTGAAGCATTTCTATGGACATTGGCCGGATAATACGGAATTTCCAAAATAGCGACATCACCTTCGGGAACAACTTTCTCAACTCTGACAATCCCTTCGTCCATCAGTTTTTGAATGGAATTTTTCAAATCATCACACTCGTCTGGATTGGTTGAGCATTTCAAACAAAAACTATGAAGCTCTTGTAGAACTTTCTGCTGTAAAAGATGCTCTCTTAGGACTGCCATTGACATCTGAACCTCTTCAACTTGAGTCACTAAGTCATGGTCATTGTCAAACTCAATAGCGTTGGCAGCAGCCCCATGGTGGGGAGGCATAGGATTATTCTGAACATTAGGGCCTATAGGTGCGAAGCTTAGCTCTTTAGCATCTAATAGAGATTGTAACTTGTATTTCAAAGCTCTGCAGTTTTCAATTGAGTGACCGGGAGCACCTGAATGAAATTCACAATGTGCATTAACATCATAACCCCTTGGAAGCTCTGTCGGCGGGGGAGGTAACTCTCGAAGTTGTACCAATTGACCAGCTAGCAACTGCGGGAGTAATTGAGCATACGACATCGGGATTGGATCCAACTTCCTCTCAGGATACCTTTGCTGCCTTTGTTGACCCCTCTGTCCCTGAGGCCTTTGGTTCTGTTGATAGTTTCGTGGCGGTGCGTACTGTTGTTGCGGAGCAGCCGCGGGGGTCTGGTAATATGGAACTTGTATAGTAGCCTTCCCCTTATCATCGGAGGCATTGCTCACCTCTCCTTCCTTTTTCTTGACGAAACCGCTAGAGTATGGTTTCTTCCCACCACCCGAGTTGTTGTTATTATTCGTGCCAGATGCACCTGAAATAGTCCCCACTTTAATACACATTTCAACCCGCTCTCCGATGATGACCATGTCTGAAAACGAGTCGGAAGTACTACTGAGCATATGTTGCAAATACGGGCCTCGAAGGGTACTCATGAACAAATCCACTAGTTCCCAATCTAGGAGAGGAGGTTGAACTCTTGCGGCCAAACTGCACCATCTCTGGGCGTACTCTTTGAAAGACTCACCAGTCTTTTGAGACATACTCTGCAGCTGCGCACAGCTAGGTGCCATGGCGGTGTTGTAGTGATAATGTTTTAAGAAAGCATCAACAAGCTCACTCCAATTACTAACGTGAGTTTGCTCCAACTGCATGTACCACTCTAATGGAGCTTCAGCAAGACTGTCCTGAAAGAAATGCATAAGCAATGGCTCATTGCTAGCATAAGCAGCCATCTTTCTGCAGTAAGATCGGAGATGAGTCTCTGGGCATGTAACCCCCTTATACTTGTCGAAATTAGGTACCTTAAACTTCGGCGGAATCACAACCCCCGGAACTAAATACATAGCAGCGGCACTGAATCCTGGTTTCTTAGAAGTCTCCATAGCCTTTAAGCGTTCTTCCAGAGCCTTGTACATCTTAGCAGTTTCAGACAGATCAGTCGTAGAATCCTTTGGAGGGTCATCGAGATCAATGACATCATGGTGGTCATCTATAATCATCTGTGGGTTCTCCTTAGGAATCCCCCCATGATCATTCTTGGGTCCGCCGTTCTCGGATGTGGAGGAAACGTATACCAGTTTTGTGACACTTATTTTGAGCTATTCCTGCCCTTGGATGACGGCACGAAGAGTTTCCATGAGTTGGTTCATCCGGTCACCCATGGTGTCCATGTCTTTGCGGAGAGAGGCCTGGTTCTGCTCAATCTGTTCCATGATCCTCAACTTGTTGGCTCGAGTGCGATAAGGATGTATGGAAGTCATCTTGTAGATTCTATAATAAAAGGCAAAATCATCAGATAAGAACTCCTGCCAGCAAACCTGCAATTCATGAAATGCATGATATGTATGATGTATGAAATGATTGTCCACTCCGGTTCTCCATGGTTCAACTACCGTCAATAGTAATCGAGCAACATGATGACAAGAACGACCACATGAAGAAGACATCCAAAAATAAGAGAAATTCCCACAGAACTGAATATAAGAAGGTTATGGGAGTGTGAGAAATTGGTAACAATAATGATTAGTTCGGGGGTAGGTTATTTTTCATGTCGCTTAGGCTCAAATAAAGTGCCTTAGCGACAAATTCAAAATTGTGCCTATCCGGACTTGGCGACAGGTAGGTGTTCAGCAAAGAGGATTGTCTTTTCAGAATTGGAACAATTTGGTAGTCCTAGAATGCGTAACTTGTAGCTGTAAGACTGAAATAGGGTCGAAATGACGAAAATGGTCCTCTAGATTCTTCAAAGAAGGCCAAGATCTTGAGCGGAAAACTTTGAATAGTACAAATAAGTATGATTGTCTCCTTTGGTTTTCTTGAGAGCATCACCGTTGCCAAATGTTATTGGCGAATATTATGCCAGAGAGGTATCCAAAGTGGACATGCATATGCAAGGTTGATAATTTCATCTTTCTGACATTTTTTTGAAATAAACATGTTAGATGTAAATGCAAAATGATCATGGTGTTACTACTTCCATGATACCAATATCTGTTGTATTGTCTCTGCGTAGCTTGTAAGTACCAAGATCATAGGTCCGGAACATAAACCATACAATCTTATGAACATATTCGGGACTCAGAAAATAAATCTGAGAACCTCCTAATCATTGACAGAGTTTCAGAGCATATCCAATAGAACCGATAGTCACTGTTTGAGCATAATCATCATTTGAATATGAGTAACCATCTGAATATGAGTCACCATCTGTACCTGAGATAGAAATTCCCTCCCCACTCACGGGTGAAACTAGGTCAGGGTAAGATAATGGTAACTCGAAAATCACGGGTCTGCCTGAAAGTGCTATGGGCTTACCCACAGATGTGGGTGCCGATAGTAATTCATTTGAACCTCATCCGAGCATGGTATGTGACATGACTGCACTAATCGGACCACGTTTTATAGCCGTCATGCCCCCACTCTATTCCTAGGTGTCCTAGTGCACTCTGGCCTGGGTACTGGGCCTTTTACCTCAAAAGTAACATCCCGACCCAATAAGAAGTAGATCCTGTACAGCAGTAGTATATGGAAGACAGTAAATACAATGCATATGTATGCTCGAGTATATACAAAATGAATGAATAAACTGAAAGCGTGAAGATAAACACCCAAAGAAAAGAAAAGAAGAGCTATGAGCAACTCCGGGATGGACCAGCACTTGGTCGACCTATTCCCCAGTGAAGTCGCCAGCTGAAACAACCGGCTGAAAATCATCAAAACAATGAAGTCGCCATCGAACGTCTTTTATCCCACATGTAGGGAAAGGTAAACATCGAGAAAACCTAATGAGGGAGAAGTCACGGTCTTGTGACCGAGAGATCGGGTAAGGGAGTCTGTTACGCGAGGGGAAGGTATTAGCACCCCACACGCCCGTAGTACTCTACGGTATCCACTCTTGTTGTCTATCTTATGGGTGTGTTTAATCTATGCTTACTGTTTATTACTGCTAAGGGATAATGCATGCAAAATAAAGGGGAAAAGAATGTAGGAAAAAGAAAAGTTGTGCTCGCTCGGGCCCCACCCCGATGCCTACGTATCCCTTTTATGGAATCAGAGCAGTCGTAGTTCGGCTTATGTTTTTGTTTGTTTGTGTTTTTTATGTGGACGAAGTTAATTCCGCCTTCTGCCGCAGCTCGACCTTTGGAGACTTATGCGTTGGCACAGAAGTAAATTAATCGTGTCCTTACTTGAAAAGGGTTTAAAAGAAAAGGTGCTCGAGCGCACAAAATGGTTTGAATTTGTTTTGTATTTTTGTTGCAGACAATGACTAGTCGACCTCAAGAGGGAGATATTAGCCATTTTTCTACTTAGTCATGAAAGGAGTCTTTGAGAATTGAACCACACCTATGCTTGAGATGAAGAACAATAAGATCGAGAAGAGACCCGCTTATCATTTCTCGTACTAAGCAAAAGCATGATTCTCATCAATAGTTTTAAAGTGTTTTGAATTTCGAAAAGAAAAGAAGTTTTAGTATTAGGTGCGTATGTTCAAAGAGAAAGAAAAGTCAAATGGGACTAGCTTACTTCTAAACCTAATGTTATTATGCGTTAGTAGCCATAAGATTTAGGTTAAAGGGGAAATTTCTACCTGATGTTAGCATGCATGAATTTGAAAGCCTAATGTCTAATTTTAGTTCAATTAAATCGAAGATTAAATTTGAACCAAAATCTCCTAAGGAATCATGAAATAATACACGAACAAGTAAAATTAGGCAGCAAGTATCAAAATATTGCATACAATCCATAAAAATTGCAAGCGAAACACATGACATAAAAATGAGTAAAACTAATGATTAAAATTGAAAATAAAAAAGTGAGAGAATTGAAAAGAAATCTCTTTTATTTACCAATATTGCCAAAGAAAATAAATCGCCAAAATTAATCGCAATCGAAATGAGTATGGGAAATAAGATCTCAGGAGGTGCGAACTAAATTCACTATGCTGCAAAAAATGCAATGACATTAGGCCCCATTAAAAATGGACACAATCAGCAAGAAAATGAAAATAATCATAGTCCAAGAATTGATTAGTTTGGCCCATGTTAATCATTCTTAATTTTATTATTAACCATATTATTATATTTATTTGTGGAATTAATAATAAAAATAATGAAACATGTAATAGAAATGCTAGTTCAGAAAGAAAAAAAAAATAAAACAAAAAAAACAATTAAAACTAAAAAATAAAATATAGGAAAGTTGAAAAAGGGGTTAGGGTTAAAAGTGAGAGGTGTTTTCTTCTTCTCCGTAGAACAGCGGCGGCGCTCACCTTCCTTGCGTTTTACCATCGATACACATCGATTCTCCTTCCCTGTTTCACCGTCTTTCGTCTTCTTCTTCCTACTTCTCTAACGATCTCGCCCAAAACATGTCGGAGTACCACCGGCGGTCCTTCAATGGACGATGACATGAACAACAAACAAGCTCCTTCAAGAACTCAGGTTCGTTCCCGTTATATGATTCCTCTTCTCTTCCTTTTCTGCGATTTCGAAATTTGTTCTGAGTTTCGGTTGATTGCTATTGATGAGCGAGGTTGTTGTGATGTCGCGGATGATGATGAAGAGCGGAGTTGTGAAGATTGCAATAGATTGATGGAGAAGGTGTAATGTCGCGGATGATGATGAAGAAAGATGAAGATAATGGCGGAACAATGATTGAGAGAAGAGTGAAGTTGAAGATTAGGATTCTTCAAAAATATCTCAGAAAGATTCAAAGGTGAGTATCTCGTGATTTACTGTGAATCGTGAAAAAAAATGTTCCTTCTCTATTGTGAAATGCAGACTCTGTTATATATCAGCTAAGTTTGTTACAGGTGAACAAATATAGGCCCTTGAATTTGAGAATCAGCTAGAGCAATGAATGGTAGGGATTGAACCTCTCATGAGTTAGTTACAGTGAGCTGGCAAAAGTTGGCTAAGACAGTTAGAGTCAGTTGCTAAGATACTTCTATTAGTTTTTCTATTATGACAGTTAGAGATTAGATTCTGTTAGGCTTGGTTTGTTAGAGGTTAGTAGTTAGTTAGACTATTTTCAGTTACAGTTGGTGATTCTATGGTGCATTCAAACAAATCCATCAGATAGACCACCGATGAATAAAGTGATAGAAATGCTACATGGACCACTTTCATCAGCGCAATATCCTCCAAAGTCGGTCTTGTTTTCTCCTGAAATGCCATTTGTCACTAACTAACATAGGAGCAAATGGCTTTGATTCTTTTGGTTGCTCAACTGGAATTGGAGGGTAACTCACACTTTGAACTTGGAATTTGATCTCGTCAGTATAATTAATACTAAATGATGAATCAATTTCTTCACCATAATCCCAAAACCATGTGCCTTTGTTTTTGTTTCTATTTTCAGGTTCATAGCGGTTTGGATTGGGCATGTGATGAGTAGGAATGTAAATGTCGTCAAAGAATCCAATGGATAAGCGCAAGCCATCAACATCAGATGAAACAAGTTTTCCAGTAATAATCTCCCCCGGAAATGGACGAAACATAATCAAATTAAATACCACCAGGTAGGTCGGAGCACCGTCACCAGGGAAGATAGACCCGCCCTCCATGGATACGATATCATAAACAGATACACAAAGGCCCAGGTTTGCAATTACCTTATCCAAGAAAAGCCTCTCAAGCTCCGTGTGTATGGCTTCTCCAATGGGAAGAGCGAGAAGAGAAGGAGGCAAGGTCAATTTATGCTCAATCTTACTGAGATAAAACATTGACGCTATACCCTACTAGGAAGTGCTATCCGGAAGAAACAGCTCTTTATGGAATTGACAGTGACTCGAAAGGAAGGATCGTGGCCGGCAAAGATGGCGGTGTTGGGTGAATACTTGTTCTGGTAGGTGACGTAGATGACGACTTACGAATGCAGAGCAGAGCAGAGCTTTGGGAATTAGGGTTGTGTTGTGCAGGTTCATGCTTATGACAGTTTATCCAATATTTTTGCAGATTTGGTTCATATCAGGGCTATTGGGAAGCAAAGGCAAAAGGAAAACACCAAGATGATACGAAGTTGGAACAAAGATGCATAACAGGAAGTTTTGGAAGCTTGAAGTTTGAAACATGAAGAATGATTGAAAATTAGGATAGGTTTTGGTAAAAATGTATAGATGTTATGTATAATTGTAATGGAATTTGGACTTGTATGTATTTGAATAATTGTAATGTATGTTGACTTTATTTCCACATAATGAAATGGCCTTTGTATGAATTCAAATAAATGGTATGAATCCAAAATATTTGCAAGGTAACCAAAAGAGACATGAATCTTGAATGAATCCAAGAGAGGCTATTTGGACAATATTTTGATGGTTGGACGAATTTGATGCATGCTTTTTCATACTTGTGGTTTGAATTCCAAGAAAAGCCATGCAAATATTTAAGAACTTTGATTTTCTCCAAATCCACTTCAAATATTGATGAATGAATTCTAATCAAACCACAGCTTCAGTGAACCCCTAATTCAATTCAATTTTCCGATCTAAACCAAATTTGCATGTCAAGCAATAAGCATTTGAAGTAATGACACCTTGATCATAATCAACATCTTGTACCATGTCCCGACTATATGAGCACTAGAACAATGACGTCTTGGACCCCTTCTCAATAGATGATAATGAATATGCCCTGAGGAATTCTTTGCAGATGAATATGAAAGATGAGACATGCGAATACCTTGATATGGAATGAACCTCAGGTAGAATGCTGACAAGCTCAAATATGAAAATGTATAAACCCTGATTTTTAGCTTCGTCTCATAAAACCTTGCAACTTGACATTGAGAAGAAAAGAATAGCATCGTAGCTTGATGATGATAAGGTCCATGAAATGAAAACCTAGCTTTAAACAGATTATTAATGGAGAAATCAACCGAAACAAGCTTGTGCGAAGATGGGAGCCTTAAATCCATACACCAACCCTTATTCCTCAAAATCCATGATCTTATGCCAATTTATTGATTAATGATGCATGATGTGTTAGATGACCTAATGTGAGAAAAATGCAAAAATGCGTAAGCCAGATAGGAAGTAAAAGGGTAGGACAAATTTGGGGTATTACACCTGACGAAGACATCATGTTGGTAAATGATTGTGAAGAACTCAGACCATATGACGGACTTGAACAAGGATCCTGATGGACCATGGTTTTTGACGGAGCTTCCAACGCACTCGGCAATGGCATCAACGCTGTAATCCTATCCCCTGAAGGTTGTCATACTCCCTTCACTGCCAGGTTGTGTTTCAACTATACCAATAATATGGCTGAATATGAAGCGTGTATTATGTGTCTCAAAGCCGCCATAGATTTGGGGATCAAATCCTTAAGTGTATTTGGAGACTCGGCCTTAGTAATCAGTCAGATCAAAGGAGAATGGGACACGAAGCATCCTAATATCATCCCTTATAAAGAACATGTGTTTACACTGATCCCACATTTTGAGGAAATTACCATTGAGCATTTTCCACGAGAGGAAAATCAACTAGAGGACGCGCTAGCCACTATGTCATCCATGTTCAAAATCAGGTGGGATAATGAGGCTCCTCATATCACTATTGAGAGGATGGATGAACCGGTATACTGTCACGAGATTAATACCGAGGAAGTAGCGGACAAATCTTGGTTCCATGAAATTAAAAGATATCTCGAGGCCCAAGAATATCCTGAAGGAGCTTCAGTCAATGATAATAAGTTCCTAAGAAGGTTATCTACTAAATTCTTCCTCAGTAACGTAATCCTCTATAACCCCAGCCACGACTCTACTTTGCTTCGGTGCGTAGACAAGAGTGAGGCAGAAAAGGTCATGGCTGATTTACATGAAGGTACCTTTGGCACCCATTCTAGTGGGTACACGATGGCTAAAAAGATCCTACAGGCAAGATACTATTAGTCCACCATGGAAGCAGATTATTATCAGCATTCACAGACTTGTCACGAGTGCCAAATCTATGCTGACAAAGTACATGTGCCTCTGGTTCCTCTAAACGTACTGACTGCTCCTTGGCCATTTGCAATGTGGGGCATTGACATGATTGGAGAGATCAGACCTACAGCTTCTAATGTACACCGCTTCATCTTTGTTGCCATTGATTACTTCACGAAGTGGGTCGAGGCAGCTTCATTTGCTTTTGTTACCAAGAACGTTATGGCCCGATTCATCAAATAGAATCTTATCTGTTGGTATGTTATTCCGGGAAGAATCATTACAGATAATGGTAACAATCTCAACAATACTATAATCACTGGACTATACGTGCAACTCAAAATCCAGCATCATAACTCTTCTCCTTACCGGCCGAAGACGAATGGCGGTGTAGAAGCCGCTAATAAAAACATCAAGAAGATCATACAAAAGATGACAGTGACCTATAAGTACTAGCATGAGATGTTACCATTTGCTCTCCACGGCTACTGTACCACGGCGCACACATCAACAGGGGAAACTCCTTACTCTTTGGTATATGGTATGGAAGCGGTCCTACCAATTGAAGTCCAGATACCTTCTTTGAGAATCGTGAAGGATGCAGGGTTGAATGAGGATGAATGAATTCAAACTCGATTTGACAAACTGAACCTGATTGATGAGAAGAGGCTTACGGTTGTTTGCCATGGTCAGCTGTACGAAAAACATATGATTAAAGCTTTTAACAAGAAGGTCAGACGTCATATATATCAAGTTGGTAACCTAGTAATAAAATGTATCTTACTGGCACAAGGTGATCCCATGGGCAAATGGACTCCTACATACGAAGGACCATTTGTGATTAAAAACATATTTTCTAGTGGGGCCATGATCTTAACCACTATGGACGGTGACGACCTTCGGCACCCTGTAAACACAAACATAGTTAAAAGATACTACGCATGAAAAAGACTCACTAGGTCTACTGGACTAGGAAAAAATTAGGGATAAACACAACAAAAAAGTTGTACACCCGACAAGCTGAAAACCTGAAATGGCGGCTTGGGCAAAAAAGGGTATCCCGGTGGACTGAAAACCCGGAAGGGCAGTCCAGGAAAAAGTTATGGATTTAAAGCGTATGACTATGTCCCATTGGATCACCTTACAGCCAATCTTTAGTATCAATTTTCAAACTCAAATGGTACTAATCAATCCAATCAGCTTCGGACAAAGCAGCAAGTGGATGAGACGCTCAAAGACATAAAGGCTATAGCAGAATAGGAACCCCAGAGGATTATTTCACATAGTTGTATTCCTTTGTATTAGTTTTCATTCTTACGATGACATTCTCTTACTAAGATGTTCATCTTTTGTACAAAAATTCTTATTCAAGTTAATACAAGGCTATTCCTTTAAAAGTGCTAAACTATCTGTTTTTATTTTACTTTCCTGTTTTGTTTGCAAAAATGTCCAGTGATTATTTTTGAACATATGGATTTGAACGTAATTACTATTTACAAATGAACGCATAAAAAAGGAAAATAAAATAAAAAGATAATTACTAATGGCTTTAAGAAACATGATAACATATATAGGTCATTCCATAAAATCCCTGCAGGTACTTTCTCCAACAGGAGCAGAGGCAGAGACATCCTGCTACAAGATCATTGTCATATCTCCAAAACGCAGCCTAATGGAA